AAAGAAAAGCAAGTGATCTGTCCCAGACTAGATGTACACAGGCCTTGGCACCTAACCTTGCTTTTTAAACTTGAAGCTTGACAAGCAGTATTTCTCCTATGATCTGGACAGGTGGCAATCCCATCACAGAGCATTTGCCAGCATTACCACTGTCCTCATTTAGACTTTACATCAAGTCTGAGTGAGCCCTGGCTTGAAATCAGACTTTTGATGTCAGTAAGCAAAGGCTAATTCCTAGTTCTTAGTTTTACAGAAACTAAAATATTACATAAATAAGCACTGTTCAATTAAAATTACACAGAGACTTTTTGATGAACAGCAAATGTGCACCAGAGAGCCACTTGTAAATGTATTTGGAAGTAGATTGTTGAATATGAAATATACTGATTTTGCCTTAAATAGATCAGCATGGCTGACAAAGTACATACTACAGAAAAGCACAATTCTTCAGTACAATATATTACCAAAACTATTTTGCTGTTTGTGTGTTTGGAAAAACGTTTGCTGATTATAATTATTCAGTTAGACCAACTGAAGTCCTAAATTGGAAAAGCAGCTCTGTCCAAGGTCGCCTCTGTTGTTTCCAAAAATATCTTGAAACAAACGCAAGAGGGGCACTTTGTTGGATGTTATCTAGACATATATAGTTTCAATCAAATTCTTCAAGAAGTGTCAGAATAAAAGTTGAACATTTGTTTGACATTGCCAAGTCACTAGCAAGTGAATCCTTTTAAAGGCTGAAAATAGCTTTGACAACAGTGGTAAGGACTATAGGATGTCCCCCCCGACTTAAAAACATTAAAGTTGACATTATGCGAACTTAAATTTTTTTTAAATATGTCATTAAAAAGTACCTTATACGTAAGTCGATCTTTTTTAGCCAAAAGCTGGGAAGGGTTACCAAGTTGTGTTAGGGATGTTAGGAAAACGTTTATGATGATTTTTACAATGTAAGAAAGCTTGCTATGTACACAGTTGATATTTTATTATTAATCTTTCAGCTCATGCAATTTAATCAACCTCAAGAAAAACTAGGCATGCTTAGCTGTGTCTAGAAAGAGTATAAAGTGATGTGTTCCATATGGACAGACTGAAAGTCTGGTGTAATCAATGTGAAAAAAAACAACCAATCCTTAAAGAAATAGGAACATAACTGTTAACATTATTTAGCGTGCCACACTCTGGCTTCTTGTCATCTGAGAGGAGTTCAAGTTGCTCTAATTACAAGTTGTGGAAGCTGTCTTCTTGGTGAGCTTTAAGCTTGAGATGGTCATTTGTCATTGTCTGAGTTAATGAATACCTCATTTTCATTAATATCCTCAAGACAATAAATGGGTCTCTAAAGATTTTCAGGCTGGCTCCTAGAGGTACCAAAACAATCTATTCCTATTTCCTCTAGTGATAGAGCAGAGAAATCCTCAAGGATGAAAGATGTAATGTTGATGTTAAATATTACTGGGGGGGGGGGGGAATATATAGCTCAGTGGTTTGAGCATTGGCTGGCTAAACCCAGGGTTATGAGTTCAATCCTTAAGGGGGCCACTTAGGGATCTGGGGCAAAATCAGTACTTGGTCCTGCTAGTGAAGGCAGGGGGCTGGACTCGATGACCTTTCAGGGTCCCTTCCAGCTCTATGAGATAGTTCTCAGCTAGTATACACCAGAGTTGTGACCTGGCTGTATTATATTTAGTAGGAAGCAATTCAAATGACACCATTTTAATCTTTAAGGCTTAAAAAATACATTTTTATATAATAAAAATATGACAGACTAAAGCAAGGTTAATACAACAATCTACAAATAAATTGTAAAAACATTAATTGTATTGAAAGAGTTCAGCATTTGGAGAATGTACAGTTTAAAAGTCAGTTGATCACCAATATCCAATATGTATAATTCTCACTCAATTTTTAACTTCTCAAATCTTGGGTCAATCAACTCTTCCTCACTTAATTCTTCATTTATGGACCTGACATTTCCATTTGCAACAGCCACGTCTAAACATGTTACTGTCCAGCTAATGCTCCACTGGAGTAAATCAAATAAGATTCTGAATTTTTCACTTAACGTTTTATAGCCTCAGACTTTCAATTGTTAAATTGAATTATTTTTAAAAATAATTCAATGGAAAAACGAATGCTTTTAAACCGTATCAAAAATCTCACTTAACCCAGTATCTTCTCTGTTTATTCATCTCTATGCATCATTTGCATAATTTAAAAACAAAACATTACTTGGCCAATTTCTGCATGATTCCCTCATACATCTTTATTATTTGCATAAAATGCATGTGTTTGTGGTTCATTATTTGTAAAATACCGAGGACAGTTTCCTTGCCAGTCAAAGGGATGGGAGCAGTGAGCGAGAAGAATTTATCGTTAAATATTGGTCAAATCCTGTTTGCCCTACTCCTATAGGCCAAACGCTTCGCTAGGATTAGTTTTGCCAAAGCGTGCAGGATCTGGCTTTATTATATTCCAAAAAGAGACACTGTGACGTTCTTACTGTGTTAATGGATGCTTTTTAAAAACTCTAACAGTTGCAATCAAAAGCTTAAAAATGTGATTTTATTCAGTATTTATTGACTTGAATAGAGCTCTGCGCAGACATACGCTCTGCCTCTGTGGATCCAATTGCAAGATCAGGGCCTTAATCCATTTGGCAGATACTGATTCTGTGTTTTCAGCAGAGTTGCAGCTAACCTGAAGGGTTTTGTTTCATTTTCTTCGTGGCTATATTATATGTTATTTGCATTGCTTTGGGAATAGGATTTTGTTAAAGGGACATGTTTGGATCAAGTTTTCCACACATTTTGTAAAATTGTGTTTTTCTCTAAGCTAAAAACAATGGGGAAAAATGGGGAAAATTCTTTTATTTTCTTTTTTTTACCATTCATGAAAATAAATATTTCCATGAAATAAAATAAAAAAGCAATAATTTACATTTTTTAAACATTGCAGAATTGTGCTACTGCATGAGAACCTGACAGTGAGACTGAATAGACATCAACTACAAACTAAAGTGATACCATCTGGCCTCTTTTTATCTTTCATGCTGCGAAAATCTTTAATAAATTTCAGGTCTTTTAATTAAAGTGTCCCACTTTAGTGGGAGTCTTCAGCAGGATCAAGACCATTATTTTAGGCAAGAATATATATTTTTAAATTTATTCTTTTAAAGTTTTACATTGTCCCTTTAACTACTGATGTTTGGCCAGGAAAAAGAACACAGGGCTAACTCCATCAGACCTTATTGTGGCAAAATTCCAATTGAAGTCAACAAGAATTTTGTCAGAAGGACTGCAGGATTTGACCCACAATTCCTTGCTGATTTTATTTCAACTATGTAGGAATTTTTGCTCTGCCTTTCCTACAACCCTCTCCTTCTAATGGGGCATTAAGTTATCATGGCCCCAATTGCTTACAATACTTCCTTGTTTGTATACCAAAAATCACTGAAAGCAGCACAGTACAATTGTTTGTGAAAAATCATCCCCTGCCATGTTTTAGTTAAAGATAGGTTAGCGATGATGTCGGGAAACTGCTGCTGCAGAACGAACATAGGGAGCACAAGAGCAGAAAAATTGGGTTTGTATGGGTCACACATTCAGGATCCAGAGGCCTCTTCCTCTTCATATTAAAACAAGTTTAAAATAGGCCACATTTTGAGACTATTTAACTACCTAATTATTTGGGTGTTGCCTCATGCAGCTGATACCTTGAGAAATAGACACCTCCAAAGCTGATCCATGCAATACTTCCCTACTGGAGCATTCACATGTCCAAGAAAATTGTTGCATTCTGCTACCCTTCTGAGGCTGGAACAAAGGCCAGAACAGAAAGGCAGCTGAAGAGTTAACATGGTTTCTTCAGCAGGAAACCTGCTGATATAAATAACATAGGACATACAGAGAACAAGTTATTTGTGGGGGAGTGGTCATTTAAATCTGAGCGAATACAGCGCTAATGAAAGGTGCCAGATTTACAGGCATCAAGTCTGTAGTTCTCTTTATCCACAAAGCAGATACAAGAATCTTCCCACCCTCTGCCATGCCAGTTTGGCACAACCCTCGTCTGGCGGGGACACCTATGGTGACAGGGTAGGTTGGTCTCCATGGCCCTATCAATCCTGTGCCTACCTTGTTGTTGAGAATGGCTATAGGGTTGCCAAACTTTGCCAGCTGCCACAGTGATTTAGGAACTGGCCTGATACTGCCAACTCATTATGCATACTTAACTGAGCTGAGGACAGCCTCCAGGTAGTAGTGACTTTCAGCTACTGCTGATCTGGGCCAGATATGGAACAGTGATCTAAAGGTGAAAGGCTCTGTATCCCATTTCCAGTTCCCCAGGCCATCTGGTCACCATAAAAACAGATTTTATATTACATACTGGGAATTATACTATCAATTTTAATTAATCAGGACATTCTCACAGGTCTTAATTGAACTAGATTTTTCTTCAGATTTTTTTGTACTTTAAATCTACCAAAAATTTAACGTATTTAAACATAATAAAATTCAGCTATAGAGCTCAAGCCTACAGACACTTAAGCAGGTGGACAGCTTTACATATGTGAATTGCTCACTTGTACTAATCACGTAAGTAAAGTTATATGTTTATATATAGTGTTTGCAGATTGAGCCATTTGGGGGATATTCTAATATTCTCCTCTATTAATGCTCTAATAGAAGCAAAATGGTAACTGCTAATATTGAGGAAACAAATGAGCATGTGAAATTCAGATGATAAAAGTATTAACTGATCGGTTATGTAACAAGCCAAATAAGTTTGCTCATGCCCATTTCTGATTTCCCTATTCATAGTGCTTACTCATTTGGGAGTTGCCTGTAACTCTTGAAAAGGACATCCCTTGAATCAGTGTTAAGCTTGCATGACAAAACCATGCAATGCTATGGAACACAAACAGCCTTTAAAGTTGGATTATCTCCTGATTTAATTCTGGGTAAAGATAGGTACTAGTCTCTGGAATCAGTGTATGCAGTTGGTCCTAGCAACTGTTAGCAAGAGTGGTGTCTTAATAGGAAGACATTTTTAAAAGTACAGAAACACAGAATTTCACTGGCTACATTTTTTTGTTATTTGGATCTTCACAAGTAAAAGGCAGGTGATTTTCCAAGTTGTATTTGTAATCTCAGCTAGACTATTAATACTAATAGAGCAAAGGATAATAAGCTTCTTCTTTGTAAATTACCAGCAGAAGAAATTAACTGTCAGAATCAGTCAAAGATTTTTGAATGCTCCCATCAAATCACTAACTGGTTGGAAAAGCCACTGAACAGAATCCATTAAACCCGCATTAAATGTCCACTTATATAAAGGCTAAAAATAACTGTAACAGCTTTTTAGTTTTTCCAATTGTCTTTTCTTAGAGTAATCATGATTTTCTGCTTCGCTTCAGCAAGTCATTCTGATGCTGTAAGAATGATGCCGCACTAATTAAATCAGTGCAACCATCATGTAATCTTAAATCAACTACCAATAACTTGTTTTTAAAAAGAAAGAGACTCTGCTTTCAGGGTAACAGTGAACAGAAAAAAAATTACATCCAGTTGGACTGTACATTACTCCTATAGATTTCCTATAAAAGCATAACTCCTGCGTAACTGGCAATGCCATATAAAAAAGAGATGTCTAAATGATTTAATGTGATTTTAGAGTTTGGGATTTTCTTAAGTATTTGTTTCATGTGCACATCCTTCCCTCATCCTCTCCCCTCCCCCCTTTTCTGTGGCTTTGGAGCATGTGTTCTCCTTCACCACTGCACCTGACCCCTAAGGAATCCAAATGCCCCTTTTCTGGAGATCATCCCAGGCTCCCCCTAATATATCTCCTGTCTAGATGGCCATGCTATTCCACTGTTGAGGACAAGCATTCAACAAGATGCCTATAACTCTTCCTCAAAAGGCCAAGTATGTAACTCCCATAACTTTCTTCAGCTCCATTTGGCACCAGAGCACTGTAAATAAATAAGTAATAATTAATAAATACTGGGCTAGCAAGAGAAGAACCTAAAGATATTCCTGGAACTGGGTTTCCCCATACCACAGAGTCTGCTGCCATTTTGTGGAGCTTAATCCTAGCACATTGTTTGATATAGTTTCAGTCCAGTGCCTTAACCTTAAGACAATCCTCCTTTTGCCATGTAGGGCACTCAAATTGTGGAAGAGGCACATGGTGGTAATGAGACATGCTCTCCCAGCTGCTTGTAAATCTACCTAAGGTCCACCCCCCTACACAGCAGGCTTCCCTCCAAACCAGTGAAAATCTGCATAGGAGTTAATGCTGCTTAACACTTTGCAGCTTCTACCTATCCTTGGAGAGAAGGTTAGTGTGTAGCTGTGGAGAAAGAGTCCCTTGATCTATCCTGAACGGGAAAGAGGAACCAAGGGGCAGGGCCCCACATTGGGATGAGAGGGGACTGTACCCTGTCTCCAGGCAAATCTTACGGTTGTGCGGGATATGAAGGCTTTGTTTTCTTAGCATGGCTGCAAACACTTTTTGCTGCCAAAGGAAGAATTTGGAAATAACTCTGTGAAGTGAATCTGAGCTTTTCAAACGCCTTCTTCCTCTTAGGCCCTTGCCTTTAATAATGACTGTTCAATTACTTCTATCAACTAAAGAAACTTTTAAAAAATTACAAAGCCACACTATAGACACCAGATTTTTTTTTCTTCTATTTCTGTTAAATATATTTAATGCAAATACAGGTTAGGGAAGGGGTTCACACAAAAAGCAGCAAGTGGATGTATAGTTAAATATCAGAGAAGGCTAAAATACTTGTTATATCCAAAGTAACACTGAAGGTACTATTAAAAATTAGGTCAATTTTATTTCAAACAGGATAGAAATTTCCAAATGGCTTTTCTACAGACCAAAAGAAAATAAGAAAAGCAGTAAGAATTTTGATCTTCATGACATAACTTTATAGCTCTGACCCTTGTCTGTTTGGCCAAGGAGTGCACAGCAAAAATCAGGAGGGGTGAAGGAGAGTTACAAGCCATTTTTGCACTCCTCTGATCCTGGGCCAGCTGTGCACCAGATGGATCCACTGAAGTCTCAGAACAGTCTGAAGGCTGCCAGTGACCTCCAGGGGCTATTCTGACAACTAGTCAGGGTGCAGGGAAGTCTTGTCCACAAACACTTCTCCATTTCCTAATTTATGTAGGAAGAATTGGGCCAGATCTACATCACTGGAGGATTGCCCCTACACTGGGATGATCCTCCTGTGGGCAGCTATCACTGCTTTAGAATCACTTTGCATAAATAAAGCAGCACAAAGCTGCCTCAGTGCAGGGGAAACCCTAGGCCTGTATTTCTTACGAGGCCCCAGTTTAAGTTCATGAGGGTAACATACAACCACAGGGCAAAGTTAGAAGACAGCACATATTTAAAAAGAAAAAAGTGGAAAAAGCTCAGAATCCAAGTAATTGTTCTCAAATCCTGCTTCTGTCTTTGTGCCAATGAAGGGTCCCTCTGGCAGCACAATCAGTTTACTTAAGTTGTGTAAGGAGATTGGGAGTGGAGTGTGCGCACCTTTGGCATGGCGTGGAGCTTGGTTCTGCAATGGCTCCATGCTTACCAGCACATAGTGAATGAATTCAGGCAAGGCAGGAAGGAGAGGGCCGAGCTAGGAAATGGGTGGACCAGAACTTCCTATCCTTTCCCCTGAGAAATGTAGTGTTAGGGCGACAGTAACAGCTGAAGAGCAGCTCTACTAGCTTTCTGTGGCCTTGGGAAAGGATTCCGTCCCCTTGGTTTCTTTGGGAAGATCCATAGACTTTACAGTGAAATTCACCTCAGTGCAGAAGGCTCACCGAAGACCCTCCATATGACTTAAGCCGTTAACCTGGCACTTAAATAATGTAGAGGGTTTTTTGCATGGAAGTTCATTTCAACCTTATATTACCCACTGAAAATAAATAATTTGAAAGTAACCTATGTAGAAACAGTGAGAAAACAAAGCAATATTCAATTGAACGATCTGAGGAAATGACGGGGTAAGAAGCAGGAATTCTAAACGAATTCATAATACCAGCCTATCCTCGCCACCTTCCTGAATGACTTGACCAACAGAAGTTTGATTTTGTTGCTTTAGAAAACACTCTCTCTTACACTCCATCAGTTGCTCAAAATCCCGCCACATTTTAGCTTGCTTCATATTTGGTCCATGACTTTCCCGCACAGCTTTTTGTTTCTCTCGTAGTTTCTGTTATGAACAAATAAAGTTACCGTATTTCAGATTTTTGGATAGGTTCAACATGACAAATGTTAGCTTACATAGGTAGCCTAATGTGAATAAAGAACATTTCCTCTCCCCTTGAAACATTATTAATATTCAGTTAAATTCAAAAACATTCCTTGTAAATGGATATGCAGCATTCTCTGTAGAGTCTTTGATGTGTGTGCCTTGTATAATGTTAATTTTATTGCAACTCCTTGAAAATAACACCCCATTTTTTATATAGTGCAACTTTACCCTGCTGTGTTCCCAGTTTCTCTGTGGGGAGTCCCATTTGTTTTGTAAAAGTTTATTTTAAAAAATCAGTTCATTTCCAGACTGAGACACTGCATAGCAAGTTATAGCCTGTAATGGATTCTGATCATGAAGTTATATATCCTGAAATTAAACTTTTACATGAGAAACTGCAATTAATTCTCAACTATAGTGACACAAACTTGTAAAATTCACTCGCAAACTGACTCAAAGGGAAAACTAGAGAGGAAAAAGAGAACATTCTGATTGAAATAGCATGGCTAAGCCCTTCACTAACCTGAACTTCACATGTGAATAAACTTGGACAACGGCTTTTGTTAACACAACTACATTGAAGATATCATTAGCCTTTTATAAAGATAAGACTGACAGCTCTAAAATTTATTGACTTCAACAGGTTGCTTTATATACGACTTCAAATTTGAGCTGGCACAGTTTGTTATATCTATGTTTCAGTTTCTTATCCAAATGGTTTACAGGGTATGTGCTGTTGTGTTAAGCTGTTTGACTATCTTTTACAAGAAGCTCATGCTATGCTCTGTAGGAAATCAAACTCTGAAGGGTAAGTGTGATATCTTTTCAGGGGATTCATTACTGATGCCAACAGTAATGGAGTTTTCTCTGTGTTCTGCAATATGCTTTTTAAAAGGATGAGCACAGTTTTGAACATTGAACCAAATAAAAGTACGAACTGCAACATGTTTGTTCAAGTGAAAAAACCCAAACTCATCCTTACCTTCCCAAGGTTTTCTTGTTCAAGGATCATTCGTGTATATTGTTCTCTAAAGAAGGTACATAATAGAATTTTAATTAGCTCTAAGTAATAAAACAGATTAACTCTACAAGTGGGGAAAAAATAGAAAGTGGTAGAAAGTTTACAAGTATAGCCAGGATGGGGATACCATCAAAATCTAAGGGCCCCTAAATAAGAAAGTCAAAAGAGTGAGATGAAGAAACATCTTTATCATCAGGCTTCAGGACTTTTTTGACCCCCATAATTGTGCAGTTGGCATAAAATGCTATTCACGAATGGATAAGGTCACTGTTAAGCTTTCAGAGCAAGTTTGATTTCTGGGGTTCCCCACGTGAAGTCTGGGTACGTGGCTCCTCCCGAATAATGCACGGTTGAGACCCTTTTTAATATTGCATTAAAGTCGCCAGTATTCGGAGACTGCTCAGTGTCATACTTCTGTACAAATGCCATACAGTGTTCAAATCCAGACTGCTTCGCTCATGGGAATAGTATCATTGGAGCAAAGGAGAAGACTCAGGAGTTCAAGATGAGCAGGATTTGGTCTCATGTTTGACAAAACCTAACACTGGTGGCCTGATTTTCAAAGATGCTGAGCATCCTGCAGCTCCAGTGGATTTCAATAGGAATTGCTGGGTGCTCAGCACTTCTGAAAATCAGGCTAGAGATAGATGTAGGAGCATCACTCTTGACATCCAATATTCAAAATCTTGACCTGTTGCTGTCATTGGTGGATGAAGCTATTCCCTTGATGTACATGAAACCTGACAGCATGATAGAATATGCAAATCATAACAAATTCTGATAGGCTGTTATGCCCTTGTTTACATATTTTTCAAATTTAGGTGAGATATTAAGAAACATGATCTCTTTTAAGAACGAAGTATGATGGTGTGGAACAAGCACACTTAGCTGCAGAGGGTTTGGGAGTTCATGGAACACAGAGTGGTTCAAACATCTAAAGAACTTTCAAAATTGCTCAGCATGGGGAAATCCTAGTTTCCAGAAGGATAAAACACATCAATAAACCACAGCAGGTTGTGCTAGTAGGGTATTATTAGGCAAGGGTGGTGGATCTGCTGTGATACATTCCCCATTCCCATTGATTACTCCATCTTTGAGCTCCAGTACATTCTTTGAGCTCCATGCCATCTGATCCTGGCTCCTGCTCTCTCAGCAGAGTAGATGTGTTAGGGGCCGGAGATGGGGTGGCTGGAGCATGTTGTGCTCTGGCAACTCAGAACCATTCTAGCCAGTGTGCAAGTCCGAACAGCCATGAGGCTGCTCTAAATTGTGCTAGGAGCCAAACTGGCCCTGGCTATTCCCACCAGATCAAAAGAGCAGAAAGCCATCTAAAGTCTCCTCCTTCCTATCAAGCTCACTGGATGTTACTCAGGCACAACTAAGAACCTGGCCCCAGGATGTGTTTTTTGTTTGTTTTAAGTAAAGCTGTTTATTGCAAAACAATGATAAAGAACAAGAACTCTTTTTTCTTGGTAGTCTTTTTCTTTACTATTTATAATGATGACTGGAATGAAGGCAACTTAATTAGAAAAAAAAACAACCTTTATTTTTAGAGAACAAAATTAACTTTTCACATTCCTTAGTACTGACTGTATGGAACAGAGTTTATATCCAATAAAGAGAGTCAGAATTAAGACTTTTTTGTTCAATACGTTATTAGGAAAGTGCTGTTCTATTTATGGTTAATTTTAGCTCTGTTTACATTCCAGTGCCCAGTGAAAATACATACACATCCTGAAAGGAGGTCTAGAAACTCATTTTCTCTCCCTATTTTGCATTTTGTAAATATCTGCATATCAAAGCCTTCAGTATACTTATAAATGTGAATGCTTTCTGAACTCACAGAAGGTCAAAATAAAATGTTTATAATTTCAGAGAAACTGTTACCTTATCTAGCTTCTTTTCTCATGTTTAGCAAAGGTTCAGTGAAACAGAGACAGCAGGAGAAGTGGCAATGCTCCACTCAAGTCTTACTCTCAATGCTCAGAATCCCATAACTCCACTCACCATGTTCCAATTCCCGCATTTCCCCTACTTGCTCCTCTGTTTGCCCAATCACAGTTACTTGATTCCATGAAACCATTATTGACAGATGGCAGTAGCGTTTGCCATGTGCCGCGCACTTTCCACACACAATGGAAGATGCAGTTTCTGCCCTAAAGAGCATCCAGTCTTATAAAAAATAAGGGGAGCTGAGTGGTGGAAAGGGATACAACATACAAAGAGATTAGGAGATGAGACACATTTGGAGGTTGGTTTGTGTTTTTAAGTTATATTCACTAAATTCTCTTCACCCTCAACTTGGCCCTCTCACTTTTCTCCTACACCAATTCCCAGTTTCAGTTCTAGTGTACTAATAACGGCCCCTCTGTAGAACATTCAAGTTCTTCTCTGCAAATAAGTGACCAGTTATTATTATTAAATATTAATATTCCAGTAGCACCCACTTGTGTCTGCTGGGGTGAATGGTATCAGGAGGGTACAAGGAGCAACACACAATTCTCCTCTGAGCATAGGCACTCCTCCTTTCAAGCACCAGTACTAGTGCTAGCTATTGTATCAGACTGGCAAGAGCTGGTCAGGATCTGAGGACAACATATGCTACATTCCCTTGAAAAGGTGATGAATTTGCTGCTTCAGTGTGCACTTTCAGAAACCCCTGGAGGAAATCTGGCTGACTCTCTGTCTAACTCACCCATTATTTCCTCCTTGGGCTTAGCTGCAGCAAGACACCTTTGCATCCATCTCCAACGGGAACCTGAGTTAAAAGCTACTGTCTGGCCTATAGTCTCCAACACAAAGGGAAAGGTTTTTGGTATGTTTGAGAGAACTCCTGGATATACAATAATATCTTTTGGATGTAGGATACTTATTTTTTTTTAATATTATAGTATTTTTAAGCTTAGATGGTGAATTCTTTCTTCCAGTTTAAATACCAATGAAAAAATTTATAACTTCAGGCTCAGTTTATAAAAATCCTCTGAATTAACACACAAGAGACAGACAAGAACATTTACCTAATTGCTTTTCTTCTGTCTTGTGGATCTGGGGAAACATATGTCTTCATCTCATCTTTAGCACGTTGAAGTTGTATTTCTAGATTCTAAAAGGAAATACACAGCATATTTTAGACATATACCATCTTTCCTACTTAAATATTCTCACCTACACATGTTTAGACTTCTCTCTCGTGGACTTACCTTTTTCATGCAGTTAGTATGATGATAGCAGCTTTCTTCCTGAATACACTCCTCACGCAGCCCTTTTACTTCCTGCAGTGTGAGAACAATCTATTTTATTAGGCAGTATTCTTGAAAGTCCCCAGCAGACAGACTGTTATTGTACGAAGTACAACTGGAAGTGTTTAGGGCAACATCCTGCCATAATTTTGTGTGCAGAATTCTGACTGCAGTCAATGTCATGTGAATTAGTAATTGAATTCCCTTTGCTTATTGTGCAAAGCATTGTTCGCTGCTTTGGGCTCAAAATCTTTGAATTCTATAAAGATTACATCCATTTAAATTTGAGACATTCAGCACTCATCAGTCATGAGTTAAGCTTCATAAGAAATTACCAAGAATTAAAACAAATATTTAAAAGATTTCTCAACCAAAAGATCTTAAAATTTTGCAGCAGCAAATGAAGGTAATGCATATCACCATGTACTGTTCAGTACCTTAAATGGTAAAATCATTTGGGTTTTCCAGTATTAAAGCTCCTTTTAAAATGGTAATGAAAGGATTAAAAAAAAATCCCCTTTGGCCCCTTAATGTTTTGTCTAGACTTAGAGACTAACAAATTTATTAGAGCATAAGCTTTCGTGGGCTACTGCCCACTTCTTCGTGGGCAGTAGCCCACG